TTTTCCCGAACCCAGCATAATATAAACCCTATTTAATTCCTTATATTAAATAGGGGAATTTATCGGCCAACACATTGGTTTCACAGACCAAATAGATGTCATAATTTTCTTTAGTTTATTTGATCGAGTCTTACCCTCAATTCTTGTGTTCATCCTTCGGGATAGATACAGGATTTGAGGAAAAGAGCTCTTTCATTTAAACTATAAAAATTATGGGATCAGTTTGACTTCATCTTTTTCAAAATTAAAATTTTTAAAATGTCCTTCCGAAGCGGGCAACGAGATTTCAATTCCGATGACCGACAGCTTCTTACGGGCAAACCCCACACCAAAAATAGTGCTGACAAGCGTGTTTTAGTTTAAATGTGTTATCTTCGACGACAGGAGTTTGAATGCTTAAGTGAATTTTATTTACCGTAGAATTAACATAGTATCCTAAGGGTCTATGTGCATTTGGATGTTCATGGGTTGGTTTCTGAATTTCTGGGTTGTTATGTAGATAGTTGGCCATCTCTCCTACGAGTTGTTTAAGTCTCTTTTGTTCTCTGATTTTCCTAATTGTTTCTCCTAACTCAGAATCGTATGGTGCAAATCTTGTAGGACTTGCACTACGCATACACGAACTAGAGATCCCTAAAAATTCACCCACAATCAAACAAAAATATTTTTGGTTTTTCTTTGGTTTTTTAAAAACAGTAAAAACAATTAAACACAAGAAATTAACACCATATGTTTTACAAGTCTAAGAACTTAAACTTCAACTAAAATTTTCTTAAATTAAATCATCATCGTTCCCGACAACAATGCGTAAAACTTGATATCTCTTCCAAGTGCAACCACATATTAGGGGCTCATGCAAGTGCATATTTTATATCGTTAATATCATATTTTAGAGTCCGGAATATCGATCCCATAGGGAGTGAGAGAATTCGACTTAAGAAATGTTCAAGCCTGTAAGTTTTAGTCCTAGCCTGAAATTTGGATTATGTTAGAGTCCTACAAAGTCATCCTAAAGTTTCGAAAGCAATTGAAAAGTTAAAATCCTACACAATTAGTTCAACTTAAGGTGGTTTGGATTGATGAATATACTGTTCTAAAAATACACTCCACTGTAATATGTAAGTGGAGTATAGGAAATGTAAAGTGCAAATTAGAAAAGTCCAGTGACAAATAGGAGCAATACTCTTTTTTACCCTCTTCCGAGTGCATAAAGATTATTGGTTAAAATGAGTTTAATTCCTTAAATCCCGTAATTAACTCGTGAAGTCATATTTTTCCATCATTTGCATCTCCCTACAATGCATATCAACCGATCTCATAGTTTAATGTGACTAACTTAATTGATTCTACCATAGCTCTCCCAAGTCATTATGGTTCGCAACACATCTTAAGATTTTATTTGGCCATAATGAAAAGTAAATGAAGATCTGAAAATTAAGCAGCAATTTAAAAATTAAAGGTAACTTAAAAGTTTTCTCAGTCCTATACATTCTACATAATCATCCAAAGGTAAGGAAATCTACTCAAGAAAGAAAGACACCATATAGATTCATTGTAACAAGAGGAATCCACTATCCAATGTTTACAAATCAAATACAACAATAAAGACAAACAAGACTCGTCTCCCTCTCCTTGAAAATGACCTGAAGATGCCCAACCAATGCTCCTCCTAACTCCTGGGCTGCTGCTGCTGAAGACTCTTGCTAACCTCTGCACTAGGAGAAGAAGGAACTCTACATTAAACTAAACCCTCATCAATCCTGAGCCCTATTTCAATCTTACCCCAAGGGCATCAATCCCCCCAAGTCCCTGATACATTATTATTTATAAACTATATTACTTAGCAATAAGAACCACTCTACATCCTCCTAAGCAGCTTCCCACGACAGGCTTTTCAAACAGCCAAAATGGCTCCAAGCATTTGCTGGCGCCTAGGCGCCAATTTCTTTATATGTTGTAAAAGGCATGGGCGCTTCCATGGGTCCGGCGCCTGAGCGCCATTATAGCAGCGCATAGGTGCTCGGTGGTTGGCGCCTAGGTGTCAAACTCTTAGGTTGTTCAAAAGAGGGACTGACGCCTAGAAGCTCATTGGTCTGACGCCTAGGCGCCAGTCCTCATTAAGCTTCTTTTGTTCCAAGTCTCCTCTATATTTCCTCACTTCTATTACTTGTTGTACCTGTAAGAAAAATATAAAAATATATTTCTTTAAAGTGCAATCTCATTCATAAAAATGTATAAAACATAAAGAAATATTACCATACTTATCAACACATCATGACTCTCTCATTTTGGTGAATTCCCTCATTCATAAAAATGTGTAAAACATAAAGAAATATTACCATACTTGTCAACACATCATGACTCTCTCATTTTGGTGAATTCCTAAGAGTTGGGAAAAATCTTTGATGATCCTTCAGTTTACTATGAATTGCTTCATGAATAACATGACAAGCTCGTTGAAGATATTGATAGTACCCTCCAGGAGAGAGTATAACCATGCACAAGTTTGACCTTTAAGAGTGTCACATAATACTTGACAAAGAAGCCCATTCGAGGTACACTAAATATGAATGATAGTTTGATAGTGGTCAACGTGTTCGAATGGGTCAAGTACCCCTTCATAAGAATTAATGTTTGAGGGTTTGAAATTTGATGGAATGGGGTGTTTGAGGACCACCTCAATTAAGGGTGAAGACTCTTGAAAGTTATGACGAGTGATGAAGTAATCCCTTTCCCCTAAGGGAACTCTTCTTGAATCAGGTGTGATAGTTCATCATGAATTAAATTATCAGTGACGACAACAAGATATGGTTAGACTAAGTTTTTTTGTGACAAGAGGGTGATGGGTCGGCCTAACTGTTTATAAAGCAATTATTTATTGTCTTAGCATTGCACGAAAGTCTAATAAACACTTAGATAATATGAGTAATAGGTAAATGCGACAAAAGTTTTTACATGGAAAACTCATAAGAGAAAAAATCATAGGGTCTAGCGCAGCTCAAACAATTAATTGAGTTAGCAATTGCACCTCCAAGCCCTTGTCTCACAGGTGGAAAAAGTTTACACAATTCCTTGAAGTAAAATGTTCATATGTCGTAGGAATCATCACGTAGTGGTCGAAATTTGGAGTATTTGTCGTGAGCTCAGTATACCTTCTTTGAGGTACATCATTACACCATGCTCAAAACAATTCACTACTCTGTAGGATACTTTTGCTACTTCACGACATTAGTGATTACTCCACACAATACTTCGTTACTCCACAATGATAAAGGTGCAGCCGACAGTGGTCGGCGACAACTAGGGAGCCATGGTCGACAATGGTAAATGGATGCAAAATCAAAAAACGTTCGTTGGATCTTTATTGAAAAAAAAATGCTAGAATTCAATTCTATGTGATCCTCCGTCAAGCTTGGGTCTTCCTTTGGTTCAAATTCTAGGTTCCCTATGAAGGGGTTACGGCTTTATTTATAGGGCCTTGGAGCGACCTCCCTGCAAATAAGCAAGGAATATAGACCACTCCATTGAGCGATTTTTAATTATAGTTTGAATGTTTCTTGCTCATATATGCTCCAAAATCCACGTTAAGTTTTTCAAAATTCATGTCAATTGACAAATTTTGTTGATGATTTTTTTTAAAGAACTGATGAATGAAGAAATAAGTGTTGAGGGAGACAAGCTCTAAGCACGATACATAAACGACGCCTTTAGAAACCTAAGGAAAGGAGTAAACATCGTCTTATGCAGCCATTCTGAATTCACTTTGTGTCATTCAATCCAGATCAACTTCGACGCAACTAACAATTAAGTATAATATGAAGCATTGGTTGTTGGATAGAGATTCTCACTCGAAATCAGAGTAACTCATCTCCTAGTTATATCTAACCCGCATCTGGTAGTAAATCAAATAACATATTATTCAAGGTGCGAGATGATGTCCTGCAAAAATTTCTGAAAAATGCCAAATTAGAGATAAGCAAGCTCAAACACTTCGAAATCGAACATATTGCATGAGAGGAAAAATAGCTCATCGACCTCCTCTTTAAATGAGAAGAGATCTATAATAGATGGTTCATCACCTAAAAGCACCTGCGATTGAGGAAGCAAAAGTCACGAGTCTCGAAGCGGAATCAGCTGCTAGCTGGATCGATGCAATAAAAGAATACATGTCATCATGTACCATACCAGCAGAAGTCAAGGATCCTCAAAAGTTTCAGGTAACGTTTGTGCGCAACCTGATCATCAATGGAGTACTGAAATTTTCTGTCACTTATTCCTCAAATGCATCAAATAGGATGAGAAGGCCAAAGTCTTACAGGAAGTTCATTCATGAGAGCGCGGAGGCCATTCTAGATGAAGGGCCCTCACAAACAAAATTCTCAGAGACTAATACCGCCCTACACTAAAAAAGAATAAATCATTAAAAAAGGAGCCATATAACGATTACGTTATTATTCAAGAACTTTGTAAAGATTGTAAGCCCAAAATCGATTCCAAGATACGAGTACTCACTATGCTAAGGTAATAAATAACTATGAATAAAAAATGAGTAAATCATTATTCTTTATATCATCCAAAGTAATGACTCGTGACTGGAGAAGACCTCGAATGATAGATAGGCCGCTAGACAGAAACTATCCAAACTATTTGACTTCAGGCAACGCCAAAGTACCACCAACTCCGTCTTTGTCGCCTCCAATTTCCGTTGAATGTCAGTGCCTGCAACATCACCTCCAACTCTACAATCCATTCACGTAACTTCAGGTCAGCCGTTACCTCTCTGATCTCAAGGTTAGCGATGTGCTCTCTGCCATCCCACTGGAGCTCCTTTACCAGAATCTACGACCTAAAAGATTCAACAATGCTCGTATAACACATCAAATCATTAAAATTGCAAATCAGCAATATAAATAAAAGATTGCAGTTTTTTCCCCAATTCTAAGCACTACAGTAATCCAGAGGAAGAAAATACAAGGATGCACTTACGTGATACATATCCAAACACCAAAGACAATCAGAGCAATGCCGAGAAGAGCATACCGGACCCGCATCTCCTCGCCCAGGAGCATCGCAGAGACGGCAGTGGCAGCGAAAGTGGTGGCGTTCGTGACGGGAACTGCTACGGAGAGGGGAGAATCGCCGAGGATGTAGAAGAAGGCGGCAGATGCAGAGAGGTTAACGAGGAAAGGTACGGAGTATTGCCACAAAAAGAGAAGATCGAGCCACTTCAGGAGATGGCCGATAACTCCCCGGCGATCGGCTGAAGGAGGCGTTGCGGATTGGAGCTTCTGTTCCCAGAGCAGTGCTCCGCGCCTCATGAGGGAGTTGGTGGAACCCCATACCAGGCCAACCCCGATCATCTTCTCGATGTCGCTGATCATCAAGTACTCGTCGCCGGAATTAGGGCAACCGGTTTCCGAAAGATTCTGGATTTGTTGCGTTGACGCTTGGGAGTAGGGTTTAAACTAGAAGAAATCGATGTGCCGGGGCTCTCTTCGGCTGGATTTGCTAATGAACAATTAATGGGCCCGTTCATGTGGCTTTGGATGGTCTAATTTCAGTAAAGAGATGGATGCGTTACTGTATATATTTCTGCATGTGGTGTATGTATACAATAATTTTTCCTAATTTCGAGTTAAGTAAACTCGTCTTCATTTAGTTATGAAGCTTATTTGTTGAAGGGATAGAGCACCTAAAATTTATCTTAATCAAAATTTCATAATTTTGATGAAATTTTTCATGAAAGTTTGGACTAGTTAATTGACACATATTTTTAAGAAAATTTTAAGGATTCAATATTTGTGAAAGTTATATTTAATATTTTCTCTAATTTCATCAAAATTCTAGTAAAATACTTTAACTATGATTGTATAGGTTTAATAAGTACTATAATATATATCCTAATTAGATAATCATCTTTGTTTGATATATTAAATATACTTATTATAATTAAATAAACGTAATCCAGAGCATAATAGAAAGTGAATCCAACATATTTGGTGAATTTTAACTATAATATACTAGAGTAAAATAAACTTTTGAGTATGCAAATGCATTTATATACATGCATGCAGTTTTATCATCTTCTTAATAATTAGTGAGATTTACATATACACCTTTAGCTTGCAAAATATTCTCTTCTAGAATGTTAGTGTATCAAGACTTTACATAATGGTTGCTCTTAATTATCTGTATTTAGTTATTATCTTACTCCAAGTGTGTACCTTACCCTTAGCTTTAAGCTGTGTATATATATTTGTGCAATATTGTCTTTGGGTTGTAACAGTGAATCACATTTCTGTAAATTCTTATACATGTGTTGCTCTCCTTCTCCTCCCATCATTTCTTCTTTTGTTTATGTTTTGTGTTGCTCTTCAAGAAAGATCAAGATTCTTTAACGGTATCAGAGCAATTGTCTGAAAACCATGAGTTCCAACTTAATCTCTTCCACCAAGATCGCAACTCCCTTTGAGATCTTGAATTCTCTGCCACCTGGCCAACTAATTCCTGCCCAACTCAAGCTTCTCATTACCCATATCAAGAGAAACATCTCTATATCTTTCAATGCAGAGAATCATACTACATGGAAAGCTCAAGTGGGGAACCTATTTAAAGGAAATGGATATGAGGGATTCTGACACGATCTTCCACATTTCTTGATTCTTCATGTGGTGAAGCAGTCAATCCAAATAATACATAATTTATGTTCATTGATCAAAAACAATTAGCTGACATTTATTCCATTACCTCCACCTCAATTCTTCCCTACATTCTAAATTTAGACACATGTATAGCTATCTTGACCAATGACCTGACCCGCAATTACGTTGATATTTATGTTCCTTAATATGCCAAAAACTTGACCCAAATGATAGTTAGCGGCTAGTGAGAACAAATGTAATATGATAAAAATTAAGGAAATAGTTTTCTCACTAGGGATACTATGCAAGTATATGTATCGTTTTAAGTAATGTAGAGTTTTCCTTAAGAAGCCCAGTAGCGATCCCACGAGGAAGCCGAAAACAAGTAAAAAATAAAATGAAATACATGAATTTTAACTTTAAGAAAACTATACTTAAGATTGCAGCAACTATCTAAAGGTGAAAATTAAGTTTATTAAATTCTACTATATACAAGTAAGAGTAAATGTAATGAAATAGACAATATATAAAAAGAGACTTTCTCCTTGCTAATAATTCATAATCAGTATAGGATTTCAAAAATTATTTTGAAACTTAAATGTGGTATTGTGACAAATAGAAGCATACATATTTCCTTACTTTCTTTTGCTTACTTTCTTTTGAATTGTGACTTTCTTTTGAATTGTGCAAAAAATATTGGTTAATCTAAAGTTGGTGTCGGTATGTACAGTAGTGCTGGGTAGGTTCTAGTCTCTCACTCTTAGATTAACTGTTGTGCCCTCTCTATAGGACCTACTAGTGATCTTTAGTTCCATCTCTAGACCAAATTGATGTAAGAATCTAGCTTGTCACCCTAGAAACATCAATTATACGCCCATCAAATTTTATCTCCCTATCTATTTGCACCCCCCCATTAGATCACGATTGCTGTTTCCAAGGTAGAATGTGATACTTACAAGTCGAGAAATCTTAGCCTTTTCGGGTCTATAAGTTCATCAATAGGTTTTAACAATACAAGTGGTCAATTTGTAAAGTAATTGAAGGACCGGTAAAAATATCATCATATTTTTTTAGGAATTAAAAAAGTTCTAAACAAAATCAAAATCACTTACTTAATTACTTCATATTGCAAGGAGAAAGAAAATAAAACTACTCATGAAGCATGGGGATAACAAAATAAAACATATTTATAAAACTCCAATCTAAAGTACAAAACCTTAAAATAAAGATACAAATACATCTGGAATGTTCCCCCAAGCACTCCTTTGAAGTTCTCTGACTTTTCTGACTCCAAAAATACTTACAAGACTCACAAACTCTAGAAATAATGAAAACACACAAAGAGAACTTCTCACACACTTAACACACTCACACACTATGAGACTATATAGATTCGACCCTCTAGTCTCTTGGAATTAATCTATATCTATAGAGCTTCAAAAATGACTAAGAGTTGCTTCAAAAATTTCTTCAAAAATTGACTTCATTCAATAAATCTTCTAGAAGATAACTGTGGTGCCTAGGAGCTAGCATATTTATGCACTTGGCCCCTAGGCAGCAGTTCAACTGGTTCTGTACTTTTTATCAATTTAGCCCATTTTGCTTCTTTTTGATGTATGTTTGCTCCTTTTTACTCTTAAAATCTTTTTCTTGCATCTGCAACCAAAAACATAAGAAATACCTTTCATTAAAGCATAATATCCTAATAAATTGAGTATAAAATGTGCATAAAAAATAGGTAATTTTAAGGTGGGTCAATTCTCCCAAATTTTAACATTACTTGTCCTCAAGTAACCATTGTTGTCCTCAAGTAACCATTCTTATTATATATAAAATTATAACTTATGGAAGTGAGTTTTACTTGAAGATTTCTATGGTTTTTGTTTTATAAATGTAATAGTTAAACTTTAGAAAGATTTTAATAGCATAAAGATTTTAACAGCATAATAGTCAAGTTTAAGAATTCTGATTTTCTATTATTTTCAAGAACAATTGTAATTTGTAATATTAAAGAGACTTAGAAAAATTACATGAAAAATAATATCATGAGAACTTTACTAGTAAGGATGCTAATACTTCATCAATAAACTTAGAAATGTAATTAAGACCATTTCTTAAGATGATTTAAGTAAAATCAATTTTTTATTAGGCATCTCTTCAAACTTCTCCTCATATTTATTTTTCTTTTTGCTTTTCTTTTCTTTTTATTTTTCTTTCCTTTTTTCTTTCAGGATCATTTTCTTTTTTTTTTATGTCATGTGAGGATTACTATATCTGGATAGCCTTTAATGATTTTGAACTCCATCATCCTCTTCTTAAAGTTAAAAAGTTTTTGCATTTCTTAACTTAACAAATTTATATTAGCTTAAAGATTTCATAAAGTATAATTCTTTTCTTCTTACATGAATCTTTAAGATTTTTAAAACATTCTTTAAAATACAATTTTCTTTATTTTAAATAGAAAAAACAAAATTTTATACTCATATACTAAATATCTCAAATCCATAATTAATTTTATTATTAAAAATTTTACTTAAGTTTACTATATTATTTATAAACTCAAAGATATAGTTATCTCAAGCTATCTCAACATACCACAGATTGTATTAAAATAATTTTTAAAAATATCTTTTACATAGGACAAATAAGGTTTAGTTTTAAAAATTCTCTCCCTTCCCCCAAACTTATATTTTAAATTAGTTTAGACAGTTAAGTTTATAATAAGCATAAAGAAAGAGAAAATTTTAAATTTTCTAAGCTGGAGAACAATATAGGTACAAAAAAAAGTTAAAAAAAAACATGTTGAGTCATAGACAATTTAAATTAAAAACATATATATTATGAAAATTTACAATGTAAAAGACTACTGTAACACACATCTAGTTCTAAGCAAAAGAGTAATAAAAGTAGCAGTGAAAACAAAATTACACAGCAACAAAGCATACATAAGCAGTCCAATATGAGAAAGATCTAGAAATCATAACTACTATTTAATAGAAAACAAAATCTAGTCCTCTTCCTCCTCCTCCTCATCATCAAAATCAAAAGGAATATCTTCATCTATAGATCTACGACTCTCAAAATTTGTAAATTAAGGGCATGTAGGAAATTCAACTGAATGGTCTCCCTTCATGAATTTCACTAATGTCTAGTCATAATCAACATCTTCGTCACTCTTCCTTCTAAAAAAATATGTCATATGATCAAATTTGTTTTCCATATCTTCCATATGACACTGCATCAAGAACATATCATTCAGGTGTTCCAAATATCTCTCACTCAGCACATCCCAGAATCTAGATGGAGGCTCAATAGCAGTGGAAGTAGAAGGTTTAGAAGTACAAGATCTAGAAGTAGAAATAGAAGGTTTACCTTGAACTATATTTCTAGGTCATCCATATACATCAACATTAGCCTTCCCAATTTGCTTAAGTGGCTTCAACTGCTCTTCCTAATGTTCAAATTTTACTCTAGAGTCTTTGGAAACAGTAAATATCAAAGATTGAAATCCAAGACTTGAAGTTGTACTAGCTCTCTCAAAAGAGCTAATAACATCATAATTAAGAGCGCCCAAATCTATAGGTTTTCTTTCTTTAATGCAGTAATTTAATATAGCTCTTTCTCTAGTTACTTCAATTAAATGATTTGAAGGAGGCAAGCATACATAAAGTAATGCTATGCCTTTGAAGTGGCATTGAGCTTGGAAGAATAAAAATTTACCTTACTATTGTTTCGAATCTTCCAGGCTCCACGAACATCAGTCAAATAAGCTATAATCTGATTCAACTTTGCCTTTGAAGGTGTACTCAAAATAGAAATAATCAATATTAGGTGGCAGAACATATATCATATTAATCCTTTTAGCAGTAAAATTGACTTCTCT